GGTAGTAACTAATTTACAGGAAAAAGGGAGAAACAGTTAAAAAAAAGTATCAAGTCATTACGATCAGATCGTGGTGGCGAATTTCTCTCGAATGAATTTAGGAGCTACTTGATGGATAATGGGATTACGTCCTAGCTGACTGCGCCTGGCACGCCTCAGCATAATGGCTTAGCAGAATGGAGGAACAGGACTCTTATGGAAATGGTTAGGGTAATGATGAGTTATAGTACTTTACCAGATTCGTTTTGGGGATATGCCCTAGAAACAGCAGTATACATTCTGAATAGAGTACTTTCTAAATCAGTATCGTCTACACCATTGGAGGTGTGGTCTGGGCATAAGCCTAGTCTAAGGCATCTCAAGATTTGGGGTAGTCCAGCACATGTGCTGAGAACCGATACTGATAAGTTGGAACCGAGAACAGAAGTAAGGTTGTTTGTGGGATACCCTAAGGAAACGAAAGGTGGTCTATTTTATAGTCTCGAGGACCAGAAAGTAATCGTTAGCACGAATGCTAGGTTTTTGGAAGAAGACTATGTCTTAGATCATAAGCCCAGTAGTAAATATGTTCTTGAGGAGTTAAAGGGAGTGAGTACTTCAATACCGAGTGCGCTAGATGCTACACCACAAAGTACTGGAACACGTATCTCTTATGATGCACCTGAGCAGGTAGTACATCATCGTAGTGGGAGGGTTTTCCGGCATCTCGAACGGTTCATGAGTCTGGAAGAGTCTTCTGAGGCCATCCCGGACGTTCTTGAATCCGACCCATGGACATACAATGAGGAACTCTAAGATCGGGACGCAGAGTCTTGGCAAAAGGCGATAAAATCTAAAATAGGGTCAATGGACTCTAATCAGGTCTGGGATCTTGTAAATCCACCCAGTGGCGTCCGCGCCATTGGATGTAAGTGGGTCTATAAGAGAAAGAGAGGAGCAGATGGGAAGGTTGAGACCTTCAAAGCTAGGCTTGTTGCAAAAGGGTACACTCAAAAAGAAGGGATTGATTATGAGGAAACCTTTTCACCGGTATCCATGCTCAAATCCTTCAGGATTCTCTTGGTTGTGGCCGCTCATATGGATTATGAGATTTGGAAAATGGATGTTAAGACTGCTTTTCTTAACCGGAATTTGGACGAGGACATCTATATGCAGCAACAAGAAGGATCCATTGCAAAGCGCCAAGAGCATATGTTCTGCAAGCTGAAGAGGTCCATTTATGGGCTGAAGCAGGCTTCGAGGTCTTGGAACATCCGTTTTGACGAGGTTGTCCAATCGTATGAATTTACCTAATGTTAGGGTGAGCACTGTGTGTACAAGAAAAGTGATGAAAATGTGGTGGTGTTTCTAGTGCTGTACGTGGATGATATTCTTCTCATTGGAAACAATGTGAAAATGTTATCAGACGTAAAGGTATGGTTATCCAAGCAGTTTGATATGAAGGATTTGGGAGAAGTAGGACATGTTCTCAGAATCAAGGTCATTCGCGACCGAGAGAAGAGAAAGTTGTGCCTATCCCAATCCACATACATAGACACTGTCCTAAAGCGTTTCAACATGCATGATTCCAAGAAAGGGGATACCCTTTCGGCACAGAATACCTCTATCTAAGAGGATGTCCCCGAAGACGCCTCAAGAGGTAGAGGACATGAAGGCAGTTCCTTATGCATCGGCAGTAGAAAGCCTCAGGTATGCTATGTTGTGCACACGACCTGATATTTGTTATGCCGTGGGCATGGTAGCAAGATATCAGAGTAAAACAGGACCGGAACATTGGTCTGCGATAAAGCATATTCTCAAGTACCAACGTAGGACTAAGTAGTACATGTTGATTTACCAGGCAGGTGAATTGCTTCTGTTAGGTTACACCGATTCTGACTTCCAGGTAGATCGGGACGAAAGCAAGTAAACCTCAGGGTTTGTTTTTACTTTAAGAGGATGAGCCATAGTATGGATGAGTGTCAAGCAGAAATGCGTGGCAGACTCAACCATGGAGGCTGAGTATGTAGCAGCCTCAGAGGCAGCGAAAGAAGCTGTCTGGCTCAGGAATTTTCTCCTCGACCTTGATGTGGTACCGAGTTTGCCCGCTGCAATCACAGTGTTCTGTGATAACAGCGGAGCAGTAGCAAAATTAAAGGAGCCACGAACTCATAAAGCGAGTAAACACATAGAGCGCAAATACCACTTGATACGAGAAATTGTTGGACGAGGAGATTCGTTGTTGCCAAGATACAATCAGAGGACAACCTAGCAGATCCTTTTACGAAGAGCCTACCGGCGAAAGTCTTTACAAGACACGTAGAAGGAATGTGAGTCAGATGTTAGAGCAACATAGTAGACTAGTCTTGGAGAATTAGATTGAAAGAAATTGTGGTTATTATGTTTAGCCATGAGCTTATAAAACATAAGTGGCAGATTGTTAGAGGTATGCTGTAAAAGCTATGTTTTGCAGATTCTATCAATTCTATTTTGATCTGGCCATCATGTTTCGGTCAAAGTACATATGTTAGCAGTTTATTTATTTATGCAAATCATACTCCATGTCTTATATTAAGATAGTGTGGTTCGAAGTGTTTCGAACAGAAAGATCACCTATCGGTTCCTTATAAGACTAAACAATTCGTTCACAGTCTAGACAGGCAGTGAGACCCCCTTGGAAAAAGACTAGTGTATTCTTGATTCAGTTGGTCTTTGACTGAAGGATTACACTAGCACTTATGTTAAGTGTTGAACAGGACCATGGAAGGATAATGATATGAGACTCACTGACCGTTGTTGTAACCTAGACCTTCAGTGATTCATGCATTCTCTTAAGTTGTAAGATAATATAAAATATACATATATTTTTATTTCTTATTTATTTGATTTACCAAGTGATTCTTATTTTATTAGGATGACATACGAGGTATTTTGGTAAGTAAAAATAATTATATGATGTGCTATTATAAAGTATTTATGGTCACTATGTTCCAGTGCGCTGGATTGATGACGTCCCCGAAATGGGCTCAGGAAGGAACATTATGTTAAACCCTGCAGGTAGACGATTGTCTGACATAATGGTTAAGGATCTGAGTGGTACTAATTTCAGAAATGAATAAGAAGTTGATTTTTTATTTTTTCAGTAATTTAATTAATCAACAGACGTTATATCTTAAACATAGGGAGGTATATCGATCAATCGGATTAATATTATTTAATCATGGAGGCTCAATTTTATTGGTAAAATAGTGGCTAAATGGGGAGAGCAATAATATTACCCTAGTCGGATATTTTATTATTTAATTCCATTTAAATAGGAATTAATTATATTCCATATTAATAAATTTAATTAGGAAAATAAAATTCCTACTAGAATCTTCTCTTGGGATTAGGAGACGAAGGAGTCTTCTAGAAGATGGAGATTAGTAGGAAATATATTTCCTACATTAAATAATTAATTGGAGTTGAATTAGGCTTCATAAATTAGGAATTAATTCTATTACATGATTATTAATTTAATTAGAAAAGATATCCTACTAGGATCTCCTCTAGTGTTATGAGACTTAGGAGTCTTCTAGAAGATGGAGATTAGTAGGAGATTTCCTTCCTATATATTAAATTAGTATTGGAGTAGAATTAGGATTCATAGGCCTAAATGGGATAAGCCCATATTTAGCACCTCTTAAGGTCCCTAATGGAGCCTATAAATACACCATGTCCCAATCTCTCCTACATAGATGTGTTGGCCGATTTTCTCCTTTACATAAGCTCGAGAAATATCTTTGTTCGAGAGTTAGGGAGATTCAATTAAACGCTTCAGCAAGTTTGATCGAACTAGGTGTTTAGGTAATCCATTAGAAGACTTTTTGGTACAGTATATTGACCCTCTAATATATATATAATTCCGGTCATCATCATCCTCACATCGCCGCCCATCGCCCCTCACATCACCCTCTAGTATATATATAATTCCAGTCCCAGCTCCCAGCGACGACGCCCAGCGACGCCCGGTCACATCCGCAAGTCCCCAGCGCCGTCTGCTTGCTCACCGCTGCCAGTCGTCTCAATCGCGAGGTACCAGCGCCCAGTGACGACGTCCGCAAGTTCCCAGTCCGCACCTGCTGCCGATCGCCCATCGCCCGAGGTCCCACCATCCGCCTACCACGCGCACGCTACTCCTTGTGCGCCCAGGCAACCCGCAGCAATCGCCCGCAGCGTCCACCGCATCCCAGCGCCAGTCCACGTAGGAGAAGGAGTACCGCCCGCGTGCACGCACTCGCCCAGCAATTTCCAGCGTCCACCCGCGCATCCCAACAACAAAAACAAAAAGACAAGAAAATGCGCCGAACCACAAGAACACAAAAGACGAAAACAGAAATACACATAGAATGACAAAATGGAATGGTCAACTCTAAAACAACCTAAAAAACAAGACTAAGACACGAAAAATACGACACAAACACAACAAACAAGTTGTCATAAGGTGGTTCGAGGTCTAATTGTTTGTATAGTTTACCATATATATCAAGTAAAAATATAATTTCAATGTGGTCGGTGAAAACAATAGTAAACAAAATGGTTGGTCAAGTGCCAAGTGCTAGGTGCCAACAATCTAATTACTTGTTTGTGTTGTGGTCAAAGGAATTGGTGAATAGCCAAAAAGGTGATTGCAAAATTGCAACAATAAACAAATACTGGTAATGTACAGTATCATCCAATCACTGCGTAAATTATGCATGGTAGGAAGGGAATGTTTTTGTCAACCCAACTGGCATAGGTAATCATAATACTCTTGTAAACCTTTACATCTGGACCCCACGGTAAAACCATTGGAGAGCGCGTAAAGTCCACGTTAATCCATACAAAAGCTCTCTCATTCACATCACATCTGTAGTAGCGTATTGTCAAAAGAGGACGAGGAGTTGCACTGTAATTACATCATCTGCCACTGAGATCTCCACAATATATAAGTAGCTGCGGCACTCCTCACCCCCATTTGTCCCAAAACATACAATTAAACTATGGCTTTATTAGCTCTCATTGCAGCTTCTTTATTCATGGCGATTTCGATTGAAGCCCGCATTCCTGGCGCGTTCACGGGCGGGCAGTGGATGACTGCCCACGCCACCTTCTACGGCGGGAGCGACGCCTCCGGCACTATGGGTATCTTCTTCTTATATTTTAATTAATTATTTTTCTCTTTCTTTCACAAAAAATACAAATAAATATGTGTGTGTGTGTGTGTAGCAATTAATTAATTAATTTTAATTAAATTATTTGCAGGTGGCGCTTGTGGGTACGGGAATCTGTACAGCCAGGGGTACGGGGTGAACACGGCGGCCCTGAGCTTTGCCCTTTTCGATAACGGGGTAAGCTGCGGCGCGTGCTTCGAGATAAAGACAAGAGAGCCAGAACAGTCTTGGCAGCAGTACGAGGTTGGGAAGACCTCAATCTTTGTAACTGCCACCAACAGTTGCCCACCAAACTATGGTCTCTCCAGCGACCAGGGGGGTTGGTGCAACCCACCCAGGCCCCATTTCGACCTCGCCATGCCTATGTTCCTCAAGCTCGCACCAGAGAAAAATGGAATTGTTCCTGTTCAATACCGCAGGTATATACATTAATTAATTAATTAATTAATTAATTAATTGCACCACCACATCTTATATACTAGTATTTCTTAATTCTCGTTGGAATTTTGTTTTTTTTTTTGGCAGAGTGCCATGTAGGAAAAAGGGAGGCATAAGGTTCACCATCAACGGATTCAACTACTTCAACCTCGTACTCGTCACCAATGTGGCCGGTGCAGGGAATGTTGTCCAAGTGTTTGTAAAAGGTTCCAACACACGATGGATTCAAATGAGCCGAAACTGGGGCCAAAACTGGCAAACCAATGCCGCTTTGTCCGGTCAGTCGCTCTCCTTCAGGGTTAGAGGCAGTGACGGCAGAAAATCCACCTCATGGAACATTGCCCCCAAATCTTGGCAGTTTGGACAAACATTTATGGGAAAGAATTTCAGGGTTGGACCATATTAAACAAAATGCTTCCAATTCCTGTTCTTACTAAATCAATTTTTTTTTTTTTATCATACAATTACCTCTTTCTTTACTTTAGGGCCATGGTTGTTGGTCTTTCAGTCTTTCTTTATTTGATTGATATGTAATGTAACTCACCTGTGACCGTGTGACCTGTGCTTGGTTAAAAAGGGGTTTGTGTAGGGATTAAATTGCGGAGAAAAGAGAGATATTAATTAATGAATTATATGGGTCGTCTTTCTCCTTTTCTTTTCTTTTGACTTGGCTTGGCTCTATGGGTGGGAAAAAAAATGCCGAGGCGGCCTGCACAAAACATTGTAGCCCACAGTTTATTTATTTATTTATTTTAACAGAACGAAAAGAATCTTATCTTATTATAACTAAAACTAGAAAATCTCCGCATGATTTAATTTATTTATTTATTTAACTTTTTATAAACAAGTAGTTTTTAATTGTATAAACATATTTAAAATACGTATTATTTATTAGAAAAAGTTGTAACTAAATTTCCAAAGCTGGTAAGGAAGGAAAAACTATACTAAAGGGAAAACATAATATAATTAGGATTATGCTTGCTAAAAGAAAAAATATAAACAAAAAGTTGTGATATCGAGAATATCTTTATTTAAAAGTTCAACTTCATTTACACAACTGGGCGTCATCATACGATGCGTTATTCCTCCAACCACTACATGATGAAAGAACTGCAGACAAATAAAATGTTCACTAAAAAATGTATACATTTCATGACATGCTAAAAAATAGCCATAAATTATAAACTTGTAGCAAAACTCATAGAATTTTAGTATAAATTATAATGCATAGATGAATGCCTAAAGCATCTACACCAACACTATTAATAGAATTTTAAGTCCTAAACTATTAATATAATAACACAAATATCAAAACGGAACACAATAATACAATCAACACCACACCACAACCAAATTTTTTCCCTGTAAATACAAACAATAATAGCAACCCATACATATTAGATGCATCGATTAACCACTTTATTTGGTAATACAACTGCTAAGTTTTCTTTAAAAATATAAATTGATGAAAAACGCAGAAAAATGTTGGTGAGCCTACAACTATTATTTTTGTAAATGAATCTTTATTTTGATGTTACTTGTTGCATGCAAATTCTAATGCCTGCACAACATATAATATATTGAATTCACACCAATAAATAGCAATTTTCTTTACAAAAGAAAACATTAAATGTAAACTCAAAAGACTTACTAAGAGCTAACCTTAATAGAACTGAATAAATTAGATGTCCAAGCAACTTCATCAATTGAGCTCATTTGCAATGTCGGCAACCGCATCACTTTTTTCACATCTTTAACAGTAATGAAAGCTTGAAAAAAAATTATGGATACAAATATTTATCCTGCACCAATAATGGACAATTTTTTTTTTATTGTAATAGCAACAAAAATATATGTGAATTTCACAATATCACAACACACCCACCTAACTATCCATTATTTCGCACTTTATCTACGAAACTATATTTCTTGACGCTCTGCCCCCTGCACTCTTACCGTCTATTCTAAAATATAGTTTATTGTATTATACAAACATGATCTTATAAAACTATAATACCTGCAAGAATATAATTCTGCAAGAATATAATTCTGGAGTGGAAGTTATAGATTTGTGAAAATTACTCGAGTGATACTTATATATTGAGGTGCCACAATTTACTGACATATCACAACATATATTTGTTGTAATGCATGAAACATAGGGTTTCACTAACTGCAAAAACAAAATGTAAACAAAATGGCGATTGTTGAAAAGAATTAAGAAAGCATGACAAAACTAAAAATCATTTAAACAAGAGGACATGTGCCTGATTTTTCGAAGTCACTGTTTAAATCAATATTAATATCTAACAAACATAAAGAAAACTTTCCTCAAACGCAAGTCGCATCATCATAATATCTGCATTCAGTTTAAATAACACTCAAAACACTTAAATAACACATAAAGTGAGAAAAAAAATGAATAATTAATGGGGTGCATTTTCTTTGGCTATGAATTAAGTCGTAAGTTTTTCCTATCAATTCAATCCACCAGAATATGTTTACCTTTACTTGTAAGAGTTTTCTCCATTGACGTCGCAACCATAGGGACGCTCCCACAACTCAAGAGATGAAAAGCACAAACCTAAAACATATTTGCACCAATGTTTCTTATTAGCTAAGATCTTGTTTCTTATTAAGTAAGATTTGCAGCAATCACCCAACATATAATGTCTATGACAAACCAGATTGGAACAAAAAGAAGTTTCACAAATGCTAAAGGACAAAAGTAGGTTGGGTGTCGATTACAACTTGCCTAAATAAAATACAAACCCAGAGTTAAGTCCTGCAATGAAAAATTTAATTAACAAAGTAAATTACAGTAATAAAAAATACCCTTTTCTATACATCATCTAATCAACACACCAAGTCCACCATATATACTATACAATTCAACTTTTCTCATTTATTTTTTTTATTTCAGCGTCTCCTCTTACCGAGATGCGAGATAACCCTCATGGCCGCCTCGAGTGCTGCTATGTTGGGGGTCCCCCATAAAATCTAATCCCTTTATTGCCAAAACCAAATAAACAAATGTATAGGAATAAACCAACAGGTTATAATACCAGTTGCCCCTAAAATGCAATTATAGTGAGCCATGAAAATTCTTGAACAAAAAATTCTCTCATGTATCTCCACCAATGTAATAGCTTAACTAAATTATTTTCAAATATAACAGTTCTTGAAACAATAAATCAATATCTAAAGAAGCACAACACTTCAGCCAAATCCTCCACGTCTTAAAGAACCTTAATATAATTATTCCGCAGTTTTCTTTCAAATCATCTAGTATAAGTTTCATCACCCACCAATCATCTGGTACAAGTTTTCTTCCAAACTTCAATACTTTGTACACTGTCTGGGACATCTGTATAAATATCAACTTACTATGAAATTGAATAAAAAGATTCATGATAAAAGTAGAAGGAAAAAGGAAACAATTGGAACAAATAACAATTGTGGATGAAAGAAGTTCCAAAAGACAAAAACACAGTTGCAGATATACGTTTTCCCTATTAACATAATTTACATCCTAGAACATTGTGTTCAGTTTACCATTCTTTTCGATTTCAGATCTCCTGATAAAATTGAAGAATACATAAATTGACGGCCCAACTAACAAAACCACCCACGAATCAGTATCGAGACCCCCAAGTAAATATGGATTTTTTTCTTCTTCAATTTAATCCACAATTACATAAAATCGAAACAATGTTTTACGTAGAAAGACTAAAAAAGACATGAGAAAAGAGAAGACTATAAATCCACAAACTTTACATTTTCTTGCGTGCTTGGAATTGCTTTTCCTTGCTCTCATATTCCTGCATGGTCTTTTTCTTCTCCGCCTCGACCAGCTGCAACTTCTAGATGATGAATTCCTGCAACAAAACAACAACAATAATCATAATGATCACACTGCAATTGAAAAAGAAAAAAAAAAGAGAGAGGAAAAGAAATGTAAATCGTATAAAGGGCCGGAAAACACGAACGTCCGCGGCGGAGACGGAGATCTTTTTGGCCTTCTCTTCCGCTTATTGGCGGATGAAGCAGACCATCTGTTGGATCTGCTTCGAGAGTTCGGCGCCTCCTGCGTCTCTTCTTCGCCCTCATCTTTTTTTTTTTTTTTTTGTCGCCA